TTGCCAGGCTGTGTGGCTCTGTGTGTTTGTGGAGGCCTCTCCTCTGGTCCGTGCCTGCTGCAATCTGACAGCCTCTAACCACCCGGCCTGAACCAGAACCGCCGCTCGGGTCTGCAGCGGTGCCGCTGCCGCTCGCCAGGCTCGGCCACCACCCCAAAACCATGAACCACCTCGCCCCTCAGCGTTAACCTGTGGGTCTTTTCTGCTTCCCTGTCACTTGAAAGCTTTGTTTTCTTCTCTCTCCCTCTCCAACCGACACGGCCAACCCGCAGGGCAACTTGTTTAAAGGAAAAGCCACCAGTTTCTCAGGAACAAGGGCCACCAGGTGGAAGCGTTCAAAGAACCAAGTGCGGGTCAGGATGGTTCCTCTGCTCTGAAATCCACACACAGTCTCACTCTGTCTCCTTGCCAGCCCCAGAGGGGGTCCCCATCGGTCTCACCTCCTGCAGCAGCAAGGCCTGAAGGAGCTACAGGGAGTGTAACGGGCAGGGGAGTGGATTCCTCACTGCAACAGCAGCAGGCAGCTTCCTGCTCCCATTTTGCTCGGAGACAGGAGCCATCTTGAGCCCTTTGCAGACTTGTTCCTGGCACTGTCAACAGTGACATCAGTGAACTCATCAGCAGGGCTGTGATTATGCCTCTCCCCACATCCCACAGCGCTCCTCTCCCTCCTCAACCCAATTCCCTTACCCAAATGACAACTAAACCTCATTTTTTCTGGGTCCTTCCAGCCATTTCCACCCACGATTCCACCGCTCGCCTTTCCCCTTCCCCGCTCCCTCTTTGTCCAACCATCCAGTCCAAGATCTGACCTAATTAGCTGATTGCCAATTCCAGCTCTGGATGCACATTGCTTTGTTTGAGCAGAGCTGTCCTTTCAAGCCATAATTTCTATCAGACGGGATTCGAAATGAAGAGGCCTCAAAAAGCCTTCAGCTGAAAGGTGTCCAACGGGAATTTTTAAGAGGAATTCAAATGGATTCTGAAAATAGCAGACTGGTTTTCTAACTCTTAGTTAAGGCCTGGCATTCTGCAGCTTGCAGGGCAGGAAAGTATTTGGGAGGTTTCGCAGCCCAGAGGAGAAAATGAGTTGGTGATGTCCTTTTTGTCACCTCTGGGTCGAAATGTTGATGCCCACCCAACACAGGGTGCTGGGTGTGAGGCACTTTAGGGCAGTAAATGCTCTTGGTGACAGCAGAACATCTCAGAAGATCAGTCACTAACGTGGTGACTCAGGCAGGTGACCCTGGCTCCTCCTCCCCCTCGCTCACCTCTAACTCTTGGGTTCAGTAGGGACACCAGGAGGATTTTATCAGCTTTACCCCCCACCCTGACAACCACAATTCAGAGCAACTAACCCCATTACAGCACTGTTCATCTTCCTGCAGGACATCTGCATCTCTTCTCTCCTCCCCAGCAAGCCCCATGCAGCCATCCTCATCCTCACCCCACCCTCAGCAGCTTTAGCTCTGACTGGTGGACTCTGCTTCTCAGCACTAGACCACCATCAGCACTAACTCAGTAGCCACCACAGCTTGCTAGCCATGTTTTTTGGGCTCCCCAGCCCCCTTCCCCCTCAAGTTTTTCTGGGGTCTCTGCTCTCCATGAAGCAGCACTGTTGAACAGACAACACCCAGCCCAACCAGGCCACCCCCTGCCCACCCCTGTCCTTCCCCACAGAGGAGAAAGGTAGAACAAAGCCAGAACAACCCCCCAAACAAAGTGACACCAAGAAAGAACTAGAACAAAGAATTGTTTAATTGTTTAACCCTTTCTCTTCCAGGGACCAGAGAAACAAGTTTTCTGCTCCTTCTAATGAGGGCAGTAAGGCTTGTGTGTTACCTCTACAACTGCAGGGGCAAAGTTTACGAGATGATCATCTTTAGTACTTGAAAAAGCGAGAAGCAATGGTCATGGCAAGACTAAGAGAAACCCAGAGTCTCCCAATGGAGAGCCCATTGCTAGAATACAAAAATAAAAGAGGCATCCCTGCACATCCCAGGCTAGAAAGAGTTAACCAGAAAGAGCAGGAAGAAGCTTTCCCAAAGAGGGGGTTGAAGTAAACAGCAGAGGTCAATAAAGCGACATCTTCTCCCTGCTTCCCCAGCATGTTTTTTTCCTTCACAAATAAATACAAATTCCTCATAAACAAGTGACAAAGCAGGTAATCTGCCCACGACAAGGGGAAAAGGGGCTAGAGGCAGAAAGATGTTTCCCTCCCCTTCTCTCCCATTATTATTTATCTTTTTTTTAACCAAAGCAGCCATTAAAAAAAAAAGCCATCCACTGCAGAGGCAGGGACTCCTGTAGCTTTCACACTGCAACCAGCAGGTAAAAGAGCTGCACTGTCTCACAAGGGTAAAAACAACAAAAAATAGCTGCCACAGCAAAAGGTGAATGGGGAGGGAGAGGTCTGTTCTCTTCAGAGCTTTCCATCTCAGTCTCTCAGTTTAAAAATCAAAGCCTGCAGAAATCGTCTACTGAAAGCCGAAAAAAAAAAGTTTGAGTGGGAGGAGAAGAGAGGGGGAAAAAAAAAAAAAGAGGATGCGTCTAGTAGGAAAGCCTTAAGCAAAACAAAAAAGAAAAGGCCAGACCACGTCAAAAAGCCACCCAAGTGAGAAGAATTTTCTGCTGTCTCTGGGTTTTGAAGAGTGTTGAGTGCCAGGGAGCCTGCCGGCCCCATCTACGGGCCACTGTGCCCCAGCCCCCTGGGGACAACCCATCCCCCGAGGGCTCTGCTGCTGCAGGAGGAGATGGAGGGTGAGCTGCCAGCACAGCCAGGTACAGCAGCAGGGCTCAGGGGGGCTGCTGGGCCCTGAGGGGGTGCTCCCACCAACCCGGGGTTCCCCAGCGCTGCGTCTCGCCCCCCAGTGCAGGAGCAGAGGGACGTCCCCAAGGGGCAGAGCTCGGTCCCTGTCACCTCCACGGCGGCTGTGAGGGGGCTGTGGGGGGTCTCTCTACACAGGGAAGAGCATCCTTGGAGAGACGCTGCTGGCTACGAGCTTCTGGGACCTCTCTCCCTCCTGCACGAGGCTCCCCCATCTCGTGAAGCCCGCTCTGGAAGGGAGAGGACAGCGGTTACCTCGCTCGGGGTCTCTCCCATCAACGCCTGGCAGCAGCCAGAGGAGGAAAGGGAGGCCCCTCATCTTTCCCCATCAGGAACAGGAAGACCAGGGATTGCACCACATGGAAGAACAGCCCTAACACGGCACACACACACATGCACACACGCTCCCAGCCACACGTCTCACCCCCCTGGGACCATGGCTTAGCATGTTCAGACCTTCAGCAGCAAGAGAGAGGAGACAGCGCAGAGCAGTTAGGATCTCCAGGGGCTCTTTGGTCTTAGTTGATAGTCCTAGAAAATAAAAAGCCCAACCTCTTCAGATTCGGTTGTAGCACAGCTGTGTAAGAGCTATCTGGTATCTAGTGTTTGGCAGCCACCAGAGGGGAGAAGCAGGGCTGGGTGTTACACGGGAGGGGAAGGGGTGGAAGCAGAGCGCTGCGTTTCCAGGTGCTCTCCTGGCTTGGCTGCCAGAGGCAGTGGGTGGAGAATGGGAAGAGGAAGGAGGGTTCCTGAGAGGACCACTAATCCATCAGATGTTACACCAGCGAGGAGGTGGAGGAGGCCCCACCCTGACCACGACAGAGCAGCTGACTGCACAAAAAAACGCTGCTCGCTAAAAGCTCCAGAATCTAGTTGTGACAAATCCAGGGTGGCACCATCCTCAGCACCAGTGCAGGCGGCGTGGAGAGGAGGTGAATGCAGCCACACCCATCCTGGGCAACCCAGGGAGCAGCTCTGGTTCCCGGCCCCTGTCCTCAGCAGCTTTAACTATGGGAGCCCTCAGCCTCTGAGCAAACCTGCTCCCACTGCTGTCACCTTTCTCCACCGGTTCAGAGACCACAGAGCTGGGCAAGCACGTCCTGCCCTGTTCAGCTGCACATACTCAGTGCCTTCACCTATTCACCAACTAAGACAGACGCCCAGGGACAACACAGGCAACATCCAGTCCCTACTACAACACAGCTACATCTGGTGACAAAGACTTAGAGATGGAAGCCAGAAGAAAGATGTTATGGGACAAAATGAGCATTTCACGGCCAACAACCCTAAACCAGGGGCTTCTAACAGGCTGGTAGCACAAAAGCAGAGTCAAGCTTTCAAGACCAAGACCGCTGCAGTAAATTCATTCTGTAAGCCCTGCCCTAGGTTTGTGTTTTATTCAGGACTTGAACATCCCCTCTCCAAACACATGAATGCAGCAACATCCCCCTGTACCAGATCATACAGCAGCTCTGGGGAGAGGAAAAAAAAAAATAAATCAAAAATATCACCAGCTTACACTGCTTACAGACAACTCAAAGACCCCCGTTGGGACTAAAATTCCACTAAAGGCAAACCCTGCACTGCACTGCCATGCTGCTCAGGGAGGAGGAAGAGGAGGAGGAGGCGATGGTTTAAAGAGCCGGCCGCTCCTGCCCCTGCCAGCTTGTCCTACTCTGTGCATAGTGCCAAACAGTGCAGTCGTTCATCAGAGAAAGTTCAGGACCAAGGAAACGAGGTTCCCTTTCAGCCAAAGGATTAGAGGAAGGAGAGGCAGTTCTGTTTTAGCTGGGCCGGCACTGGACTTGCCCCTCTGAGCTGTCTTCATCATCCGAGCCCCCAGCCCCGCCGCTGGTCAGTCCTGTGATCCTGTAGCCCATGTTGAGCAGCATCACCTCCAGCGGGTCGGCGTTCATTCGCCTCTGGTTGGCCTGGGAAGCTCCTTCCATGTCCACCACCACACGGCCATTCAGGGTTTCACTCTGCGAGACAAGAAGGGGGAGGACTCAGCAAGGCAGCCAAGGAGGGGCTGTCCCTGGTGCCGTAGCTCTCCAGAGACCCCAGCAGGGTGTGTGCTGCACCCCACCACCACCAGACACGTCTTACCTCTGGCCTGGGGTTCCACAGCCGTACAACCGGGTCGATGCCACTGGTGGCCAGGAAGCAGTAACTGGGATGAGGCTGGAGACAGTTCACAATCGACTCGTCTCCCTGCAGCACTCTAACAAGGTTGGTGGTTTCTTTCTCCCAGATGAAGAAGGAGCCGTCGTCTGACCCACTGACTATGTACTGTGCATTGCTAGGGTGAGAGGAGCAGAGACTGGAGATCACAGCACAGAGCCCAAGCTAGTCTCTAGCAGACATCAGACAGGAGGCTGCCACCCCTCACGCTTATGGATCCAGATAAAGCTTTCTGTGTTGGTTCCCTCCATCCCCAGGATTCCTGTTTTCAATCCCAAATGGCTTTTCTGAAACACTAGCCCAACCAGGTCCTCTGTGGATTGGCTACTGAGCCAGCTATTCATGCAGCCACACAAGGAGGAGGGTTTCTCTCATCTCTTTCAACCCTGCAAACCAGTGTCAGCGTCACGTTAGGAACAGTCACGTGGGGCTACGCACGAGGCTCATCCGACGGAAGAGAGCATTCTGCTGCTGCTCACACTCCTGTCCTGCATCCCTATCACGCTCTGCCAACATACCTGCCAAAGAAATTGGCCTCTTTGATGTCTGTAGTAGTGTTACAGTGGCCACAGTATCGGAATTTGTAGTCGTAGCTGCGCTCCCTCAGCACCATCTCATCCTCCGAGATGGAATCCTTGCGGCCCGTGGCTCGCAGCCGGATGGGGCCACCCCCTTTCTTGTCTTCAGCTGGAAAGACAACAGATTTCCCACATCACAATCTGGGGAGGAACGTGTTCTCAGCAAACAGCACTCCAGGGAGACCCCAAGAGCTTTAGGGAAGACTTAAGGACAATTCCAGCAGGGAGCAGGGCTTAGAAGCACAAGCTTCCTTCCAGGTTATCTGCTGGGTACATCAGACTCCTATTACCACAGGCTCGAGAGCAAACCAGGAGCAGGCGTGAGGAAAGAACAGGCTCAGGCCAGGTTTTGTGCATAGCAACAACAAAACTCTCTCACAAGTTGGAGCTTTACTTCGGAGAGGCAGTTTAAGGAGAAAACTCCTTCTCCAACCATGAGACCTGAGCCTAACCTGGCAGAAGCAGGGCGAGCCCCAGCACTCACCGTTCTCACTCTTGGAGAAGAGGGCGGCGTTGATGTCTCTGTCCAGCGCGTCGCAGGCACTGCTGTGGGCTTGTTCTGGGAACTTCCCCTTGAAGTCATCCAGACACTCCAGTGCCTCTGCCACGTACTTCAGCTCGAAGAGACAGCGGGCAAGGCGGAAATGGGCCTTCAGGTGGCATGGGTTCAAAGAGATGGCCTTCAAGCAGTCTCTCAAAGCATCGTAATGGTCTCCGTCCCTAAGGAAAGGGCAGGGGTGGATCAGGCAGCCCAAGCACAAACAACACATGTTTTCCACTGCTGCTCCCCAGCCCTCGTTTCACTGCAGAGCTTGTTGTTTCCAGCTCTCTCTGTGCAAGCAGCCACCCCACAAACCCATGTCCTAACAGCATTTGCTGCTCTCAGGGGCACCAGCTGACCAAGCTCATCTTCTCAAGAGCTCCTCCAGACGTACACAGGCAGCCCTGTGACATGCCCACGCAGGGAGGCCCAGCAAGCTTTGACCTGCCATTTTAAATCCAGCAGAGCAGAGCTCCCTGGCAGACCACATTTCGGGAAGTCCTTTGAAGATGGAGGATGCACAAGCCCTCTGGCCAGGCAGACACAAGGCCTCTCCTGCAAGGCGAGCGGGGCCTGCTCGGAGCACGGCAGCTCACGCTTGCCCCTGTGTGGACGCACAGGGTGGCAGCACATCCCCTGCCCACAGCCACCCACAGACCTCGAGAAGGAGCTACAGAACCCATCACGCTTCATAGACCTGGTGGACAAATGTTTTCTCACCTTCATAGGGGAAAAAAAATGAAGTTTTAGAAATAAGCATTACAGCAAACTGGTATCATAAGGGATATTTTTATGCTTTCCTTTCTGATGAGGAAAGCTGAGAGCCCTGGGGCTGTTCAGCTGGAGAAGAGAAGACTCAGAGGGGATCTGAACAATGCTGAGCAAGAGCTAAAGGGCCCCCGGGGGGCAAGAGGCTGGGGCCAGACTCTGGTCAGTGGTGCCCAGAGACAGGACAAGGGACAACAGGCACCAACTGGAACCCAGGAGGTGCCACCTGAGCAGGGGGAGAAACTTCTTTGGGGTGAGGGTGGAAACTTCTTTGCTGGAGCAGGCTGCCCAGAGAGGTTGTGGAGTCTCCTTTTTTACAATTATGTTTTTTTAAGGATTTAAAAGCTGTGTAGATGTGGTGCTGAGGGACATGGGTTAGTGGTGACCTAGCAGTGCTGGATTTATGGTTGGACTGGATGAACTTAAAGGTCTTTTCCAAACAAAACAATTCTATGATTCTACATTCCAGCACAGTAGAGAAGGTGCAGTGCCTCATCCATGAGACCTGCAGAAGAGCAGAAGACACACAGTTCTTGAGGGCTGTCTGCAGCACTGTGTCTGTGTTAATCCAGGAGGCTTGCTACACAGCATCAGGCCACTTTTATCCAAAGAAAGAGGGAATGCAAGTTCCCTGTTATGATGACACCGACAGGGGTCTGGCATTTTCAGAGCTGCCTGGGCTATTAGCTGCTTGGCCACCCTCAAAAATCCTTCAACCTCAACTAGCAGTGTGAAAACATGCAGGCTGGGATGTAAAGCAGGCACCGACTCCTCCCGTTGTCACAGGTTTGACTCAGCTTGTGCAAAACCTCTTCACTGGAAATCAGCTAAGTCCTGTCGACAGAGACTGCTAAAAGCAATCTGGAGAGTGATGCAGTTGGCTCTTCTGAGCAGGTTTTAAAAGGACACCCTTGGAAATGCTGCAGAGCACGAGCAGCTTCTGAAGGGAGATGAGCAAGGGCAGGTTAGGGACTGACAGAGCTTCCTATTTTCTGGATCTCTCTGTTACTCAGAGAGCGAGGCCACAGTGAGCCCTGCAGTGTCCTGCAGGGTGGCCTGTGGTTGTCCCTGCTCCCAACGTGAAGGACACCTCAGAGCCACGCAGAGCTTCAGCAGGGGTCACCCTCCTCCTCTGTGACATCCCAGCCACCTTCCACCATCCACCAGTGGCTGTTCCTAGCAGAAAAAAGCCCAGAGTTTTCTGCACCTGAGAAGACACCAGCTCAGTACTATTTAAATTCTAATCATTGTGTGCCTCAGAAACCCGTTGTGCATATATTTCCACATCTTCCTGCCACCAAAAACTGTCACAAAGCACCAGCTGACACACAGAAAGGTTCAGATCTGCCAAAACCCTTCGGGAAAAACAATTCCTATAAGAAAAATGTCATTCATGAGATCAGCACTCGGCTTCTGTCTTCCATTCCTTAATCTCAACCTATTGTTCTTCTCCCTCCAAACACTGAGGTCTTTCCGAGGCAGCTCCCAAATCTCTGCTCTTGCAAAACAGCCAGTAGGCCAGTTACCAACTGCTGGCTGCTCTTTATCTTGGCAAGAAGATAGGAGAATTCATACTGGGGATTTCAGCAGGGAGAGGAGAAGGATCTCCTCACAAAGCAAATGGAGATGAAGGACCACAGCTATTTTAAATATGTTAATGGCAAGTCATGCTACTCAGTCTTGTGCTGCTCAAGGGGACAGATACTAAAATAACTCCACTGTATCTTGCAGTTGCAGCTCTGGCCACTGGTCAGAGAAGACATTACCTACTGCAGAGGCTACTGGTGTGTCCTGCAACAAGACAGAACATCCCCCAGACTCTGAGGCACCAGCTGCCACCCTCCCAGATCCCTCAGAGAGGTTTTTTTCCAGTCAAGGGGCACATGGGTTAGGTGGGGCAACACAGGAACCACCAGGTCACACCTACCTGCAGTAGCAGTTACCTGGATATAGCAGCAAACAAAGCAACTCCAGGCAGTCCTGCACCAACCTCACACCACGAGGTGGGGAGTTACAACAGAGTAACCATTACCTCATCTGTCGACAGCACGTTTAGAGCCACACTCTAATGCAGATCAGACCTACCCAACGAAATGCAAACGCCCTTTTGGAGACACTCAGAATGCTGCTGCTCAGAAGTGCATTTTTGGCTTCCTTTTGAAGAGGAAAGGAATAGAACATTACTCAGCCTGCCAGTGGGCAAAACGCTGAGCCACCACCAGCTGTGCCTGCCTCTGTGCTACCCCTGCCTGTCATTTCCCCTGTGAAATCCCCTTTTGCTCTGCCACTTATGGCTTGATTCAACAACCCCGACCCTGCTCTGCACCCGGGTGCTTCAGAGGGGACAACAAGGTGCCCAGGGGACTCGGGAGTGACACTGAGCTCCTGGAAAGCCTCAGCTGCCTTACCACTTGCGCTTCATGTAGGCAGCGGCTCTGTTCCCGTAGAGCATGGCGTTGTTGGGGGCCTTCTGGACTGCTTTGCTGTACAGCTGGATGGCTTGAGTCCACAACTGGCAAGCAAAGGCTTCGTTGGCTTGTTGCTTGAGCCTCTCCAGGTAGGGAGGTAACTCCACTTGGGGACTGAAGGGAAAGAAGAAAGGAGCACAGGTAAGTGCCACGTGCCGATGCTGTCAGCTCCACGTCTGCAGTGCTTTGTGCTAGCCCAGCAAGTCCCAGCAAGCATTAGCCAACAGCAAAAGCTGCAGAAAAAGGCAGAAGAGACCCTGAACCTGGATGATCTGAGTTCAGGAGGAAAGTCTCTTTCTGACCATCATTTGACCATTTCCATTTTTTCTTTATATACCAACATATACTCAAAATTGAGCAGTGGGTATTTTAAGCACTTAATGCCTCTGACTTCAGCAACAAACCTTTGCTTTGGCTGCATAAACAACACTCCCAACCCTCTTTCAGCAATGTAAACCAGAATACAAAATCAGAAGGAAGCCAAGCCTCCAAGATCACCAGGCTGCACAAGGCTCAGCAAGCCAGAACCCCAGCCACATCTCTGCTGCTGTGGTCGAGGGGCCATCTAGAGGAAAAAAGCTGAAAATATCCAACCAAGTGACTTGGATGGAACCTAGACTACCCATATATGGTATTAAGCAACTGTGTCTTGACTTTTAACCATGTCTCCTCGGCTGGAGGAAGAATAGTCAGCAAATGGGCTTCAAGTCTGCTTCTGCTTTGCCCCAACTGCATTTGGTCTTAGAGAAAGGAAGCAGCAGAAACAACAGAATCACAGAACTGTTCTGGGTGGAAGAGACCTTTCAGATCAAGTCCAACCAGCCCCCAGCACTGCCAGGTCCCCACTGCCCTGTGTCCCTCACACCACATCTCCACGGCTTGGAAACCCCTCCAGGGGTGGGGACTCCACCACTGCCCTGGGCAGCCTGGCACATCCTCACGGGCAAGAAATTGTTCCTCAGCTCCAACCTCAACCTCCCCTGGGGCAACTTGAGGCCCTTGCCTCTTGTCCTGTCCCTTGTCCCTTGGGAGCAGAGCCCGACCCCCCCCGGCTCCAGGCTCCTGTCAGGAGCTGTGCAGAGCCAGAAGGTCTCCCCTGAGCCTCCTTTGCTCCAGGCTCAGCACCCCCAGCTCCCTCAGCTGCTCTGCCCCACACTTGGGCTCTAAACCCCCCCAACAGCTTCGTTGCCCTTCTCTGGCCATACTCCAGCCCTTCAAGGTCCTTCTTGGAGTGAGGAGCCCAAAACTGAGCCCAGGATTTGAGGTGTGGCCTCCCCAGTGCCGAGTCCATGCTGATGATCCCAGCCCTAGTCCCACTGACCACACTAGTGCTGACACAAGCCAGGATGCTGGTGGCCTTCCTCACCACCTGGGCACACACTGCCTCATCTCCATCCAGCTGTCAACCAACACCTCCAGGTCCTTTTCCACCAGACAATTTCCAGCCACTCTTCCCCAAGCCTGGAGCATTTCAGGGGCTTGTTGTGACCCAAGTGCAGGACTCGGAACTTGGCCTTGTTGAACCTCAGCTCATGGCCCACAGAAGAGGGTTCTCCAGCCTAGCTGACATGCAGATTACAGGAGTAATGACTCCAGTGGCATTGCCACAAAGCAATTTGGGCTGATTCAGTTCAGCTTGTAGCTGGCAGCTGCCTAACAAAAGGGCAAAGGGAAGTAAGGCTCTTCAACCTGTCAGCCTCTCCCATTGACCAAGACCCAGATCCTGCACATCAGGGGCTAACCACCACATAGGACAACTTGCTTCCAGACCTGAGAAGTCATTTCTTAGTGTTTTCAACAGAGATTCACAAGTCCTCATGGACAACACTTCTCCCAGGATGTTCTTGCCTCACCTGACTCTTGGTTGCAGCCCATGCACCAGAAGCAAACACAGCTCCTAGGACAGAGGCCACCTGACAACCAAGCCAACAGGCCAAGTACGTTTGCACTGCACACCTTGTTCAGCACCACTGAAGCCTGGCAAGAGGAAGAGGACAAGAAGAAAGCCACAGGACATTCACACGGGCAGAGCTGTGCCCTCACCTGACGTGTGCTCTCCCCTCAGCCAGGCGGAAGCCGTTGCTGTGGAGGTGGATCCCATTTGACACCCCGTTGGTTGAGGTTTTGCCATTCTGCACTTCTGGAGGTTAGGAGAAAAACAACACAGCCATGCTAAGGATCAGTGTGGGTGAGACAAATTAATATCTGAAGCTTCAGGGGTTTATTTTATGGCAGAGTGAAGTAAACACCACGGCACCGTTCAGAGGAGGAACAGAACTTCCATGGGGACATCCCCCCCACCTCCTCCAGCCACCCAGAGCTGATTTGTCTTCCTAAATTTACTACAAAATCTCTGTAGTATCCATCACAAGACAACTCTACAACAGAAAACTAGATGCACATAGAACTAAACAGAGACACATAAAAAGAGGGCAGCTTGAGCTGCCTTCGGATTGAGTCCAGGCCACAACCTGATCATCAGAAAAGCTGACATTTGAAACTGCACAAGTATTTAATTAACTTCAGTAAATTAGTATTTTAAACTCACTCAGATAAAGAAACATAGAGCTAAGTTGTTGAACATTTAATAGAACAAGGAGGATGAGCAGAACCACTGCAGGAATCCAATAAAGCAATCACAGACTCAGAGTGGTTTGGGTTGAAGGGACCTTTCAAAGTTATCCAGTCCAACCCCCTGCAGGGACAGGGACATCCCCAGCTAGAGCAGGGTGCTCAGAGCCCCGGCCAACCTCCCCTGGAATGGTTCCAGGGATGGGGCAGCGACCACCTCTCTGGGCAGCCTGGGCCAGGGGCTCACCACCCTCAGTGTCAAAAATTTCTTCCTTCTCTCTAATCTAAATTTCTCTCTTTTAGTCTAAAATCACCACCCCTTGTCCTGTCCCAACAGGCCCTGCTCAAAAGTCTGTACCCATCTTTCTGACAGGTCCCTTGAAGTTCTCAAAGGCCACCAGAAGGTCTCTCTGGAGCCTTCTCTTCTCCAGGCTGAACAAGCCCAACTCTCTCAGCCTGGGCTCCCAGCAGAGCAGTTCCAGCCCTCACATCATTTTTGTCAGATTCTGGATTTGTCAGCTCCAGAATTGCAGCTGCTTTCTTCCCTTCATTCTTTCCTTACCCTGCTCAAGGAGACGTTAGGGGCTGAAGTGATCCTCTGAAGGTCACACAGCCACATCACCTGCCATTGCTGTAGAAAATACTGAGCTTATAGTTTTGCAAACTGCCTTTGTGCTGCAGCTGGGAGTGCTCCTGCAGGCACTCCACAGGCTGGGAAAGCAGGGACACTATCCAAGCAATGCACTCAACTGCTCAACGAGCACACGGGGCTCAGCCTTTGTACCAACACCACTGTCCAAGAGCCTCTGCTTCAACTTTCTGTGCCCAACAGGGTGGAGCATTTGCTGCAGCTGCACCACAGTGAGCCTGTTCAAACACCATCCTGCCCTTTGCAGCGTGGGCCCCCCAGATGCACAGATCACCCACACGCACTCAGGACAGAGAGAAAGGCAGGCAGGGAATGTATTTGCTGCCAGGGTGTGGGGGTTAGATTAAGGCCCAAGGCACACTGAGTACACAGATCAAACTCTGCCAGAGTGCTCCAACAACAGGGCAGGGGCTGAGCAGGGAACACTCCCCTGATAAGAGTCAGGCTCTGCCTGGGGAACAACGCTGCAGCCGTTCAGTGCCTGCTGCCTGCACTATCTGTGCACAAACAGGCCCTCTGAGGAACAGGGCCAGGTAGAAAAAGGCTTGGGGATATATTTACTCATCAAATAAATGACTTTTTGATTCAACTATCTCATCACCAGGAAGAATATTAGTGCCAGGCTGATTTTTAGACTAAGGAAGAGATTGTTCTGGCTCCTTCCTGATGGGTGTATAAGGTGCTAACAGCCATGGTCTACATATTACTAGTGAATTTAAGAAAATAAAAACAATATACCACTTCCAGGCCTGTCCACAAAGTTTTCTTCCTCAGCTGAAGGCAGGATACCAGGACCTCACCCACTCTACAAAGTCTGCTTTACCCTTTCTGCACAGCTTTGAGCATTCTCCTTAGTTCACACACCTCCCAACAACTCCCTTCTCCCCTCCAGACACATTTCATCACTCTGACAAAGGGGTTTAGAACTCAGGGTATGAACTGCACTGCAGAACAGCCAGCCCCACTTCATTTTCCCAGTTCCTGACCAGAATGGGATGTGCCCTGAAAAAGAGCTGTGTGGTACATGATTTCACTCTGCCTTCTACTTGCTTTAATGACAGTATCCTACTTACCCCCTGAAGTATGGCACTTCTTTGGGAGGAGAAAAGTGTATGGTCGCTGTTTGTATGTTAGATCAAACAGATAGACCTAAGGAAAGGAGAGAATGAGACAAAAAAAGTCAGTGAAAATTCAACACTCGAGTCACAGAAACAAAACAGGGCTAGATGGGAACATGGTTCCATGTTTGTGTTTTGCTATTCCAAATTTTTTAACTGGGAAACTCGTTCACAGACAGGTACACACAAGGTAAAAAGACTAATGCTTACAACTAGGAGCTTTGTCTTACTCAAGAGGTAAGAAAGCCCTCTCCACACCTACAGAACTGAAAAGATGACCTGACCACAAACCAACCTGCTCAAAAAGCTTCAACTCTACTATGGAATTTTAGCTACTTAATTAACTATTTAATCATGAAGAAATCAAACGTTTATTGACAGAAAAGAGGCCGTACACTAGACCAATTCAACACTCGAGTCACAGAAACAAAACAGGGCTAGATGGGAACATAGTTTCATGTTTGTGTTTTGCTTTTGCAAATTTTTTAACTGGGAAACTCATTCAGACAGGTACACACAGGGTAAAATGACTAATGCTTACAACTAGGAGCTTTGTCTTACTCAAGAGGTAAGAAAGCCCTCTCCACACCTACAGAACTGAAAAGATGACCTGACCACAAACCAACCTGCTCAAAAAGCTTCAACTCTACTATGGAATTTTAGCTACTTAATTAACTATTTAATCATGAAGAAATCAAACGTTTATTGACAGAAAAGAGGCCGTACACTAGACCAAGGCAAAAGCCTTCCCAAGATGAAACCAGGATCTCCTGAGAAAGTTTGAAAGCAGCCCTACAAAGCCCTAATTTAAAACTGAGTGCAGTTCCTGAGTACAGGAACTGACAGCCCAGATCAGAGCAACAATTCACCTAACTCAGCACCTTCTCTTAAAGGGAATGAGGGCAAGTGTGAGAGAAGAGATCTGTAGAGGACAACCACAGAGTAACCTGCCCACAAACCAAGGTCTTGCTTAATCCATGCTGATTAATGCTGTCAGAAGGATTTTCTTATTTCACTGATAGGCTTTACAAAAGATCCATGAATATCATCCAGAGCTTAAAATTAAAGCAATCAATATTCCAGGTGAAGGCCTTGGCTTCTGTAAGTTCCTCATTCACTAGATTCTATTACAGAAGCAGTTTGATGTTTCAAGAATGAGTTATGAAATCTTTCCTAGGTCAGCAAAGGTCAGCTCCAGAACTTTTTTTTTCCCCCCCTTCTTCCAGACAGTGAAATATGAATGGGAAAACCAGAACAGAATGTGGTTCAAGTTTGATCAGTGGTAGCACAACAAATAAATCTCATTTATTCTGGATGAACCAGAAAGCAGTTTAAAATCGATCAGATTTACCCTCAGAGAAGCTGCTCTACCCATTTTCCAGCATGCACAACATCTGATGACCCAACAAACACGTGAAGCTTTCTGGTAAACTTCAGCTGTCATCTCACCTGCTCCCCTCCCATGTTGACTAAGAGCTCAGTGCCATCAGGACTGAAGGTGACATATGTGGCCACCAGAACCCTCAGCCGGTTGTTGTAGTCCGGGAGCTTCACGGGCAGGTGCCCTGTGGGGAGAAGAGATCCACGTGTATCAGCAGAACCAGTAACTGCTGTCTTTGTCCCACCCCAGCTGCTCCCTTTTACAAGAGCTTGGCAGTGTCAGAAGTGTATGAACCAAAGTGGTTTTCCATTTCCTGCTGCTGTTGACTGAATCTTTCCAACAGCCCTCAAACCATGGAGATGTGCACAGCTGCCTTCTCACAAGCTGTAGGTATCAAATCTGCAAGCCTGTCTCCAGATGAAGAGAAGACTGGATTACAACCAGCTTGCTAACAATGAGGGAGGCAGAACCCAGCAAATAGCAGTTTTAGGGATTCACTATGGATTTGGCTCCTGTGATTGGTGGCTATCTGCAAGCAAATACTTCCATCTTCAACCCTCTAATCAGGTTTCCTTAACAAAACCCTTATCACAACCCAACCAAGGCTCCTAAGCATTCAGCTCACACGCAGGTTCTTCTGCTTCAGACAGCAGATGTGTTGTGTGATCAGTCCAGGGGATCTAAGAAATCCTCTAGTGGGACTCAGCAGCAGCAAGACTGTCAAAACTGGTCTGCTGAACATGCTGGTCTAGGATACAAAAACACCCAAACATCTGGGGGGGAAAGGATAGCACAGAATGAGCACTGGAGAAGAACATCATCTAGACTGGGCAGATACTGCATCAATGATCCTTCATCTGCAGGATGAGGACAAGCCAATTCTGTGCCAAAAAGCTTCTGAACAGCAGCCTTGCTGGGATCAGTTCCAGGAGAAAAAGCCTACAGCACCCAGGTTATCCAATCCTTGACTTTCCAAAAAAAGTGACAAAAAGCCATTTACACTAGAGAAGCAGCAGTGAGGCTGCTCACCACCACACACCACTGCCAAACTGGGGCACGTGGGCAGGCAATGTCAGCAAGAATTCACAGCATGGAAGTGAAATAAACTGCAATTCCATGGGACAGCCCTGTACCAGAGGACTCTTCCAAGCAGGGGTTTTGTGTGATGGGGCAAATCCTGCTTCTTCAGGCATGAACTTACAGTCCCATCAGCCACCCCCAGTACAGACCCCCATACCTGCCACGTAGTATTGTGCTGCACCATCTGGGAGGGGTTTCTGGCGGTCACAGAAGGTGTGCACTCCAGCTGAAGGACTCTGCTTCATGCTTTTTCTAGCCAGAGAGAAGAACAGTCTTAAAAATCACAGTACTCAACTGCTGGGAGCCCGAGTTACACTGACACCTCTTGTTCACACGTGAGGGCAAGGCCTCCTGCCTCCATGGCTGTGCAGCCACAAGCCTGCCTCACAGCACCCCACTGCACTCACACTGATTGAAAAGGCTGCATAAAAAAGATGACAGAAAAGATGATGTGATAGAAAAGACCAGGTAAAACTTCAGAGTGAGGCAGGTGAGTGTCAAAGCACACATAGAAGCAGAGTGGTTTGGGTTGAAGGGACCTTTCAGGGTCATCTGGTCCAACCCCCTGCAGGGACAGGGACATCTGCAGCTAGAGCAGGGTGCTCAGAGCCCCGGCCAACCTCCCCTGGAATGGTTCCAGGGATGGGGCAGTGACCACCTCTCTGGGCAGCCTGGGCCAGGGGCTCAACACCCTCAGCAGCAAACATTTCTTCCTTCTCTCTCATCTAAATCTCCCTCTTTGAGTTTCAAACCATCACCTCCTGTCCTGCCATTGCTCCCTGCTCCCAGCAGAGCCCTGCTCAGGTTTCTGTACCACTCGGGCCCACCCAGCCAATCCAGGAGCTGTTACCTGTGGTTGTGGATCATGCGTATGTCGTAGAGCCGCACAAAGGGCCCGCTTGCCCCTACTGCCAAGTAGTTGTTGTCCTGGGGGTTGACTGTCAGGCACTTGGCCTCCACCAGCTGCCCACAGTACTCTGTCAGGTCTATCAGGACTTCGGAGCGTTTGCTGTTCTCTCGCAGGTCATACTGTCTGCAGAGGGGGGAGAGAGTCAGAGGATCCTGGTCCTGAGAGAGCAGGGGCAGCAGCAAGAGGTCCACGTGCCACAGGGACCAAACCAAAAGCCACTCAAAGAACATTTACACTGCTCTGTAGTGACCCACACTGAACTATGTGGCTTGTGCATGAAGAGAAGGCACTAATGACATCAACCATCATTTGTGCCACGGGTTACTGGATGCCTCTCAGTTCTAGGCAAGCTAGGCCTATCCTAGGTATCAGAATAACCATTAAAACCAGCTTGATAACATGCACAGTTTTATCACAGCATAGGTTCATAGACTATCTCAAGTTGAAAGGGAGTCATAAGGATCATTGAGTCCCACTCCCTGCTCCTCACAGGACTATCTAAAACTAAATGATGTGACCAAAAATGTCGTTCAGGTGCTCCTGGACCTCACCAACAGTAGCTCATCTGAAAGGTGGAACAGACTTCTTGTAGTAATGTTGCTCATTTGAGAGTCTCAGTGACTCTGGAGGGAAGTGTGGTCAGTGTTGTGCCTCCCTGCCACATGACATGGCTGTTCCCTTCTTGGCCTCCCTTTTCAGTGGAGGAAAACGAGGAGCTGAGGAGAGTATTTATCAGAGGAGTCTACATTTCAAGATGAATCCTTCCCATTTCAGGAAAGGGAGAGATCACCTTAAGCTCTTTAGTATAAAGACAGTCTCTCTTCAGATCTGGGCATAAGTACATACTGCAATAGATCTTAATCCAATTAATTTTGGGGCAGACCAACTGGAGTTCTGTACCTTATTAGCCCATCTTCTGCTGCACTCCAGAAGGTGTTAGGCCACATGGGAGCCGTGGCAATCCTCTTCACTCTGTTGGTGTGATCTCCAAACATATGGATGGTCTCCTTGACGGTCAAGTCATGGACGTGCACCTTGGAATCTGCAGCTCCTGTGATGAGGATCCGATCCCCTGAGTGCGGCAAGAACTGTGGGGGACAGATTTGACTTTCAGGCTGAAGAAGTGCTGAGGTTGTTCACAGAGACCTCGCTGAGCTGTGCAGGCAGGGCCCAGAGCAGCTGGTTTTAGGAACCCAGGCTGACCCGTGTTGTTACCTACATTACCCATACATCAGCCTGCACGCTCAAGAGTCACCAGCTACAGCAGCACACAAAATAGTCTCTTCATCACACATCCCACTTTGCTACAACCATTTCCTTTGAACTTACAGAGAGCATGAGATAAGCCTGGGAGCTGCATAAACTAAGTAATGCAGGTACTAGATTTAATACAATTTTTCTCCTAGCATTAGAAAGATTAAATTACCTGAGGTGGAAGGAAATGGCTTGCGGGAAAACATTTTCCAGCAAGGATCTATTCTGCTGCTTCAGTGGCTGATTTTGTTAGCTGTTCTTTCCTTCTCACCACGTACCTTGACAGAAAAGATGTTTGCAGTGTGTCCTGTGTGCATAGAAAGGAGTTTCTTGTGGTGCAGGGGATCCCAGACAATGGTATGCTGGTCATCAGAGCCAGAAGCCAACAAGCTAAAAGAAAGAGGAGAGAAGAATGCATCATGTATTCTTCTGTTCTAAGCTGTGACCAACTTCTGAGAGTGGTTTGACCACAGACAGCCATTAAGTGGATCCAGCTCTAGGAAGCTCAATTCCTCTCTTTCCTCAGCTACATGTTCTCGTTGCTCTCCACACACCCATCCACTCAGCCAGCTCAGGGAGCTAAAGCAGACAAATGACAATGCCACAGGAAACAAAGCAAACAGCTTTCATTGCTTTAGCTCATTGAGCCAGCTCACCACAGCTTCAGATGGCACAGGGGGAAACAATGGGAGCGTTTGGGCAGCACCAAAATGGAGAGTCTCCACCTTCCCTATTAGCCTGGCTGCACTAACTGCTCTCCATCATCCCCAAACCCAAGGCAAGGCCTCATTCCTGGACTCTGGAGGTGCCCAGGCTGGGGCTCACTCAGTGATTCACAGCCTGCTCTTTAAGCACAGGGGGTGGCAGCCGCACTGCACGGTGCTGGTTGCCTTCTACATCATCTGAAGCAGAAGCATTTGATATCTGCAACCATCAGCTGCTTTCACCTTATTTCCCTGTAGCCAGGTCTCTTTCAAGTACGTGAATTTTTCACTGGTAAATCATTCTGAAGAGTACCAGACAGCAGACTTTGGATCTCCTAAGAAGCACGTCAAGAAATACACACCCTTGCTCCCATCCAGGCACTTCTCAGGCACACTTTCCACTTGGTTAAGGGAAATGCTGTTTAGTTTCCCTGTAAAACTGCAGTGAGGTTAATGCTCTTGCTCTCTCCCTTCCATATTTTTCCCCCAGCAGAAGCTTTTGACAGCATGGTGAAGGGGGTGGGGAAATGTCACTACCAGCCAGGCAAATCCTAACAATCCATTATAATCCATAATACCACTTAAGAGACGAGAGGCAGCCTCCAATCTCCCCTTCTTAGTCAGACCATTTCCCTTCTGAACTCAGTAAAGGGGCATTTCTAATAATACCCAGATATATTTAACAAAATAAAGCTGCTTTTGAAGCGTGGCTCTACTACAGTTCAACATTTTGAGCCTGAGCTCCACTTCATGAGGAATGGGAAAAAGGTGCTTGTGATAAGGTGACCTGCATCCTAGTCTTGGGAGAACCTGGGGTTATCAGTTTGTTGATCCCCCAAATCAAGCCACATACTTACTCTCCTTTTTCATTCCATTCTAAACAGTTGACACACCCAGAGTGACCCTAAGGGGGAAAAAAAAAAGGGGGAAGTGAGTATTACACAAACCTCAGACTTGTCAAACAGAGCTGTTCTAAGACAAGGACACAGTGAGCTCCCCACACATAACAACTTGTTCCAACACAAGTAGGTTTTAGTTTTTTATTCCAATCCTGCAAAAAAACCACCCACGTGGCAGATAAGCACCTCTAGAACAGACAGACACTCCATAGTAGCTGGGGTAAAAAAGGCAAAATGAAACAAATAATAACTAAAAAAGCCCCACAGCGTTGAGTGAAATGGGAGGTTAGTCTCAGAGGCTACAGATGAAATCCTGCTGCACCCATGGAAAGGTGACTTTGCTCCAGGAGCCCTTGGCTAGCCTGACAAATTACACATACAGGTTCTCTGGGAATGCAGGGAAAATGCACTTTTGATAACTCTTTTAGAAACACCTTGCTGCTGGGTGACTATCATCCATCTTCATCCAAATTAACTAAGCACCATACCAGGAAAGACAAGGGGAGCATCGAGGAGTGGTTGATAGGGGAGATGCGACTGGAAAGGGGGACAGAAGAATCCTGTCCTCCCCCAAACCAAGATAACCTGAAGATCTTTTTTGAAGCTGATCTTCAAAAGATCTTTTTGAAGACTGCAACACAACCTTCAAGCAACACCTTACACTCCAGCAGTGGAGCTGAGTATCCTGAGCAGTTGACAGTTGCCTTCTTCAGGCACTGCTGCTGGGATTAGCTGACACACACCCGTTACAGACTCTCCTGAGGTGTGTTAGGTAATGCAGAAAGCTCCCACAAGATCTCACTGAGCTATTCCTGGCTCTAATGCAGTTTAGGGAACTAAGTAATCATTATCTATCCCATCCAATTTGGGCACCACAGTAGGAGAAAGACATTGAGGTGCTGGAACTGGTCCAGAAAAAGGGAATGAAGCTGGGGAGGGGTCTGGGGAATGTGGCTTATGAGGAGAGGCTGAGGGACCTGGGGTTGTTTAGTCTGGAGAAGAAAAGGCTCAGGGGAGAACTTCCTGCTCCCTACAACTCCCTGAAAGGAGGCTGGACTGAGGTGGGTGTTGGTCTCTTCTCCCAAATAACCAGTGACAGCATTAGAGGAAATGGGCTCATGTTGCACCAGGGCAGGTTTCGACTGGATCTTAGGAAGAATTTATTTCCTGCCAGAGTGGTGAGGCCTTGGGCCAGGCTGTGGTGGAGTCCCCACCCCTGGAGGGGTTCAAAACACATGTGGACGTGGCACCTGGGGACACGGTTTAGTGGCCATGGGAGTGTTGGGTGCCAGTTGGACTTGACGACCTTAGAGCTCGTTTCCAACCTTAATGATTCTATGGCTCTAGGACCCACGAGCCAAACTCTGCTGGCTCCCACACGCCGTCCTTTCTGCAGCAGGCAGCTCAGCTCAGGTTGCTCTCCAGGCAGCACCCCCTTACCTGCAGTTCTGCTTCCAGGCCCAGGCGCCGGATGAAGGGGTCGGTGACGTGGTAGTGGCGCTCGAAGCCCAGCGCTCCCCTCTCCTGCAGGAAGCAAACAAGCACCACACTGACTACAACACACAACACTCCTTTTGGCCCTTTCAGAGAAGATTCAAGACCTTTAAAAACCAAGCAGAGATCTCGCTAGGTATTGGCATAGCCATGGGATCAGGTACCTGTCTTGTAGTAGGGAGGCATCATTTGTGTCATCTCCTAGCGGGCAGTTTGTAGTCCTTGCCCCTGATATCTATTTGCCAGGCTCCAGCTGGGTAGCCAAGACAAGCTCTGAGAGGCCCACACTAAGACAGAGCAAGTGACCTACTTTGGGCCAAAACCAGATACAGAAGAGCTTGGGAATGTCTGGGATCCTCCCTTGGCAAGGGCTTTGGAAGCAGCTGAGGACTAGACTGCTCACAAGTCTGCCGTGATATTCAGTGGGTCTTGAAGCACCACCAAAAAGCACTGGGGAGGATAAATGGACAGCATCCTTTAGAGGTGCCCCATCTCCTCAGGAATGGAGCAGGAGCACGTAGCTGCAGTACCATGGCATAGCCTGTCCTACAGGGAAGGGAACAGCTGCCACAGAACCACGTCAGTACAAATGAAGGTGAAGAAAAGCAGGACAGTTGTTTCCCCGGTGATCTCATGGGGTTTGCAGATGCGTTAGCAGATGGCTTCGATGAAAGAAGGCCAACTGCAGAGGCAGGCATGAAACAAAGGGAACTCAAGTCATATTTTGGATGGAACATCTAATGTCCAAGGAGATTCCCCCCGCCCCAGGACCTGACCCCACCTCAGTCCCATCCCATGCCATGCTATAGTCAGGGGAGGACAACTCAAACCTTCGTTATCACCACCTACAGATGAGAGCACTGATGTCAAAAGCTACACGAGTGGGACCAGGAACATGTCAGCAGGCAGACAGAAGGAACATAACTGACACCCCAGCTCTGCAGACCACTGCTCAGCATGGAACCCCATGCAACAAAAGCCATTTGAAAACAAAACAGAGACAGACAGAAGGGGACTGGAGGAAAACTGGAACACAACGGGCTTTTTTTGCAGTAACTTCCCTCACAAACTTCAAACCCCTTGACGTTATTTTCACAGTTGGCACTCCCAGAGCAGTGCCAGGCCCAGTGCAAGGTGCCACAGTTATAATTGCCTTGCCACTGCAACCTCCACGAGGCTTTCTGAGGTCTGTGCAGCAGGAGATTGCTTTGCCTAGGAGGAACTGTCAGACTTAGCAACCTTCCCAAGGTCACGCGTGGAAGTCTGACAGAGCAAAGAGTGTGAAAAAGTGCCAGGCCAACGCTGTAACCACAGAACCAGCCCCTCCTTGTTGGAGCAGCAAAAGAAATCTTTGCACGTGGATTAAAAGATAAGCTTCTAATACAAAGTTTGGTACCCAACTGCAAAGGGAAGCGAGGATTCAAGTGCCTAGATCCTCATTCTGGCCACCGACAGACCACTTTTTGTGAATGCTGATTACCAGCAAAGCTGCAAATGATTTAAAGCCTCTGAGTCCAAGCAATAATTGCCTATTGTGTTTGCTGTAGTTAGTCCTTTCACGTTAAGGGATAATTCTCAACTGCAGCCATCAGATGACTGCTCAGACCACCACAGAAGTTTTTCCCTACAGAAGTTTTCCCCTACACAAAGGAAGCAACACGAGACTCTTTAAAGCAAAGGAGACACAAAGAGCCCGAGACAGAGATCATTAGCTCCACTACAGTCAGAAAATACCTTTGATGGCAAGTTCACAGGAAGAGAACACATAAAGAAGCAGACAGCAAGCTCCTGAGGGAGGCTAGCTAAGGGTCCTTGATGGTGCCCAAACACAAGGAGCTGTATTTTTCTCTTCAGCGTTGTACTCAAAAGGACCAGAGCTGCTGGTGTCAAACTAGCACGGTGCACTCCTGCCAGGGAGGAGAACTGTATTCCTGTCATGCCATACTTCAGTCCAGCTCTTCATTAAGGATACCCAGAGGTCCTGTGTGTCTGTTCTCTTAAGCTCCTTACACAGCTTATCAATAGGTAAGCAGCAGAGATGGTTTCACAAGTAAAGGCAGAGAGGTGAGTACTGGAGTGGCTGGGACACCAACGGCTGCACTGCCAGCCAGTGAGACCTGGCCAGGCTGCAGGGCTGGGTGGGGAGGGACCTCATGAGCTCCAACCAGGGCAAGGGCAGGGTCCTGCCCCCGGGGAGGAATAACCCCCTGCACCAGGACAGATCAGGGGTGACCTGCTGGGAAGCAGCTCTGTGGAGGATCTGGGAGTGCTGAGGGACAAGTTGCCCAGGAGTCAGGAACAGGCTCTCGTGGCCGAGAAGGCCAATGGTCTCCTGGGGTGCATTTAGAAGAGTGTGGCTGACAGGTTGAGGGAAGTTCTCCTCCTCCTCCACTCTGCCCCACTGAGGCCATCTCTGAAGTACGAGGTCCAGCTCTGAGTTCAAGACAAACAAGGAAATACTGGGAGAGTCCATGGGAGGCTCTGGAGATGCTGAGGGGCTGGAGCATCTCTGTGCCAGGACAGGCTGAGAGCCCTGGGGCTGTTCAGATCTATTCCAGATTAATTCCCCAGCCCTAAAGA